TAGAGTGGGAACCAAGGGTCAAGGGATGTTTCACAGAGCCAAACTTTGAAAGATACACAGAAGGAAGATATGGTAGAACACATCCAGCACTTGGGGTGGGGTGGGGGATTGGAAGCCATAAGGTATGTTCTCAAAAAAAAAAAATAATAGAGAGGGTAAGGACTCAGGCCAAGGGCCTTTTCAAAATAGCTGAATTACAAATGTAACAATGCTGAGGAAACTGAATTTCAACAAAGGGGTACAACAACAATACCCCAAGAAACTTTGTGGAACTCAAAGCATCAACCCTCTAGGTCTGTGGGGTTTTTGTCTGTTTTGTTTTGTTTTGTTTCAAGACAGGGTTTCTCTGTGTAACCTAACGGTCCTGGCTGTCCTGGAACTCACTCTGTAGACCAGGCTGGCCTTGAACTCAGAGATCCTCCTGCCTCTGCTTCCCTGTGTCACCATCACCTGGTGCCAGTGGTTTTTAAACCATGTTGGGGAAGGAAGTAACCTGTCATCACTGCTATATCAGGATGCTGGCATTGTATGGCGACAGACATTTTTTGATGGTCATTTCTGGAGAATGGAAGTGCTGTCATTTAAAGGGGAGAAGCCAGGAATACAGCTAAGCATTCAACAATGCACAGGACTAACCCCACAGGGAAGTGTGTGGCTTAAGTGCCAGTGCTGGGAAACATTGATCCAAGCAGAGAACAAAACACAGGCAAGAGTCCAGTGAAGGTATTCGCTATGAGCTACTTTAAGGCAAGGCTGGCCTACCGAGTTAGAAAATGAGTAAACTAGAACATCTCTGGAGTGGCGCAACACAGCCAAGATTTCCAACTGACATTTCCAGGGATAGGTCAGAGGAACTCACGAGCTATAAAATATTACGATATTAATTGATAATATGTTTATATGTTTATTACGTGATATATAATTAGTAATGTTAAGATATTTTAGGATATTAAGATATGATTATTAAGATATTACGATAGCAAGTTTAAGTCTGGAAAAGTAGGCTGACCTACTACCGAAGTCAATTTGAGCTATCAACTTTAACACCTTTTTTTACAGAGCATTTATAATGGCGTAAATATTACATTTTATACTTTTATTTTCTTTCTCCTCTAAAGTAAGTTTCCTGGAATCATGGACTTGGCCTATTTTCCGCATAAACTTAACTGATAAAACCGAAAACACTTAACAAATTTGGCAAGCAAACAACTTCAGGCTCATTACCGCCACTAGTACGAAAGGGGCAAATCGAGACATCTTTTAGGTGTGTAGGGGGTGAGAAACGGAATCCCACTCTGCTGGGATGAGTACTGGGTATAAAATTCCAAAAGTGCCACAAGGGAAGAGAGGGAAAAAGGAATTGGAGCGTTCCAGTTAGAGGCGCGGGTGGGAGGGGGACCGGCTAAAACAGAAAGTATACTACTTGGGACCGAACGCCAAGACAGACACAACATCCCCAAAATTTCCCAGATGTGTCGAACTTAAGACCAGGAACGAGGTACAATACAGAGCAGAAAGGAGCCACCGGCCAAACAAACTGTCAGCAAGTTCCAGGAAAGCCTCTTTTGGCGGGAGGGGTTGTGGGCGAGGCAATGCACAGTTCCGCCCATACCATTCTGGCTACAGAGGGGTCTGCACGAAACTCAGCCAACTGACATTTGGGAATGGGATCTCGAGCTGATCGCATGGCAGAAAGGGGAGAGAGTTCGAGTCGAATCCCCCCCAAGAGGAGCAAGGAACATTTTAGGGTTCTAACGTCTCAAGTTGCATGGGATAGGTTGCACTATTCTGGAGATGGACTGGGGGACCGGATCGCGACGCCAACAGGGCCGCAGCCGGATTTGTCTCACCAGAGCCATTGGGTCCAATGATGGCGGTAAACCTCTGAAATGGTCCGATAATCTGTCGACCCTTGTACGATTTAAAGTTCTCGATCTCAATCAGCTTCAGAAACCCCATAGCAGCGGCGCTACCGTAGGCGAGGCCGCAGATTACTAGTAGGAACACAGGTTAGCCCGCGCGGGAAATACCGCGGTGCAAGCCGGGTGTACGGTAAACCTCGCGATAATAAGTAACAGGCCAATCAGGATTTCCGGGTTCCGGGGCTAGCGGGCAGTCACTTCCGCCTGAAATAGAGCTTGTGTCGCCAGTCGCGTGCGTGCGTGCGTGCTTGGACCCCGCCCCCCTTTGTAGTTGCTCCGCAACAATCGAAGCGGTAGCGGACTAAGCTGAGGGAGCGTTAGTCCCCAGAAGGACTTCTATCGCTTTGGGGGAAAATCAGAAGACAGGCGGGGCCTGAGCCCATGCTTGCTGAGAAAGTCAGAAGTCATAGTAAGATTATGCCCTCCCCGTTGCTCAGGACTAGTAGGAGACAGGGGCTTTCCTTCGGTTTGCAATCTAGCCGGTCTAAGGGCTCCAGCAAAGGGTTCAGTTGGGAATTAGAAGGCGCCCTCGGAAGGGTGGGCAGTTTAGACTAGAAAGACGGATCTTAGGGAGGACTTCACTGAGGTGAGATTGAAGTGTGAATTAGGATGAGGATACTCCTAGACTCGTAGACAATGGAGATACAAGTTGGGGAAAGATGTGTTCTGAGATACTGTGGGGAAAGATGTGTTCTGAGATACTGCCCCTATCGTCTACTTCTCATTTCTGAAAGCAGAATTCAAAGGCTGCCCTTGTAAATCCTAGAGCCAGCTTGGACCCAATCCACTTAGGAGCTTCAAACTTGGAATTCTGTACTGAGAAAGGTATCTTGTGTGAACACCAGGAGTCCAAGTCCTTAAGCCAGTATTCCAGCTTTGTACTTTTACCCTTTCTCCTTAGTACATCTGTTTCTTCCCAATGCCATTCCTTTCCCACTGTATCATATGTCTATGACACTGTCCCTTTATCCCCATCTTTCTCTTCACCCTCATGTCCTTTGTCTACCTCCCTCGTTGGCTTCCCTGTTTCCCTTCTCTCTTCTTAATACCCTGCCCTTATCCATTCATTTCTCATTTTCAGTCTTCATCCTTTCAACCACCTTCTATTACCTTATATCTGCTCATTACTAAGTGATGCTCTTAGCAACCCAGAGTGTTTACTGAGACTTGGCTGTAGTGGCCTTATAGTATGGCAGTAGTTTGAATTTATAGGCTAGGGTTAGTGCCATTTTCAGAAGGTGGTTTCCACAACTATTCCTGTAACTATTTTTTTTTTCCAGACAGGGTTTCTCTGTGTAGCTCAGGCAGCCCTGGAACTAACTCCCTCTATAGACCAAGTTAGCCTCGAATTCAAAGATCCATCTGTCTCTGCCTCCTGAATGCTAGGATCAGAGGCATGTGCCACCACAGATCTGTAACTAAAGATTCATTTTCATTTATTTGTGTGTGTGTGTGTGTGTGTGTGTGTGCATGCGCGCGCGCGTGTGCACGCACGCGTGCCACAAATACAGAGCATCAGATCCCTTGGATTCGGAGTTACAGGTAGTTGTAAAATACCTGATGGGTACTGAGAGAACTCTGGTACTCTGGCAGATGGGGAAGTATTCTTAACTACCAAGCCATCTCAACAGTTTGAGCAGTTATGTGTCCCTGCATAAACTTGACCACAGTAAATATTGTTTGAGAAGCTACATTAGTTCCATATTACTGCTATAATATACCATCCCAAACTTAATAAACTAATAAAAACTTATTTGCATACAGTTCTGGAAAGCAGAAGTTCAAATTGGATCTGACTAGACTAAAATCAAGATAGTAATTGAGCTCACTTCCTTTTCGAGAAACTGAACCTTGCTTCTGTGTGGGTGCTGGAGTCTGAACATTATCTTTTGGACACTTTTCTTCAAGCTGCTTTCAAAGATTTTATTAGTTCTTTGGGGATTTTGTACACTGTGTTTTGATCATATTCACCCCTCTTCCAACTCTTCCCAGATCTAGCCCCCTTTCCCAGCCCACCCAAGTTTATGTGCTCTTTATTTTTTTCAACCATCAAGTCCAATTCGTTCTGACAATATATTATTGCATCTTGAATGTGTGGCCTTCTACTGAAACATGGTCAACATAAGAGTGGGGCTTGCAGATTTTGGTGGCACACACCTTTTTGTTTGTTTGTTTGTTTGTTTTTACAAACAAGGTTTCTTTGTATAACCACCCTGGCTGCCCTGAAACTCAATTTGTAAACCAGGTTAGCGCCGAACTTACAGAGATCTGCCTGGGTGACACATACCTCTAATACCATCAGTAAGGAGGCAGAGGCAGGCAGATCTGAATTCAAGGCCATCCTGATCTACCAGGGCAAGTGCCAGGACAGCCAGGGCTATATAGAGAAACTGGGTCTTGAAAAACAAGCAAACAAAAATAAAGAGTGGGCTCTACACTCTTAAAGAAAATCGATTCTCTTCTCCCAGTAGCTATCAGTTCCCAACAGCTCCTTCACTAGGTGGGTCTTGGTGCCCACCTCCTTTCTGCATGCCGGGATTTTATCTGGTTTGAGCTTGCCCAGGGTTGGTGCATACTGTCAAAATCCCCATGAATTCATAAGTACAATTGCCTCTATGTCCAGAGATGCCATTTCTCTCCACCACCTCTGACTCCTACAGTCTTTCCACCCTTTTTGCAAGGGGTACTGAGACTTGGGAGGAGGGAATGTGACATAGATGTCCCATTTAGGGCTGATTATTCTGCAGTCTCATATTCTCTGCTCCTGGGCCTGCTTACAAGGGCTTTAAGCTAAGGAGTGCAATGGACAGATTTGCTTTCAGAAAGATCACCATGGTAGCCAGGGAAGAGAGGATAGCATTGGAGTAACAGACCATCAAGGATTTTGGGAATATTGTGTGACATCAGACTGAAGCTTGACTTAGTGTGGTGACAGTAGAGATGGAGGACATTGATCTGAAACATCAGAAAGTAAAATCAGGATCATAGCATGTAAGATAAGGGAGAAAGAACTGGAGGTACAGTATAATGAAGTATAGTGCCAGCATTAATAGTCCATTCCACCTTTCATTGCTCCAGATGTACAAGTTAGACCTCACACCAGATCCCAAGGAGATAGCAGCCATCGAGGCTAGAAGAAACCGAGAAAAGGAACGACAATGCCGATTCTTCAATGTTCGGAACCGAGTCATGGGGGTGAGTGAGTAATGGAAACCATTTTATGAGACTGGAGTTCTTCCCTCTTGTGTCTAAGAAGGAATGTAGCAGTGCATTATAACCCCTCTGGATTCAAGAAGGCCCTAGGACTGGAAAGGAAGGAGCTGGGGAACCAACCCTCATATGCCTTGGGCAGGCTTAGGAAGAGTCAGGATTGTGCAGGGACAGGTTATGGGTCAGCTCTCAGACTGTAGCTGGTTCTTAAGGGGTTGCTTCAAGGCTAAATATGATACTGTTATATTAGTTATTTTTCCTCTTACTATGACAAAATACATGACAAACACAAGGAAGAAAGGGTTTGGTTTTGGCTCAGCTTGAGTATATAGTCCATTATTAGGGGAAAGGAGCAGGAAATGGCTGGTCATTTTGCACCCACAGTTAGGAAGCAGAATTCAGTTCATTTTCTCCTTTTTATTCAGTCCAGGACCCTAGTCCTTGGTATGGTACTGCCCACAGTTATGGCAGGTTTCCCCACTTAAAATAATTCAGTCTTGAAACTTCCTCATAGACATATCCAAAGGTTTCTCTTCTAGATGATTTAGATGTTGTCAAGCTGATAATATCTTATGTATTTTTTATTTGGCGGTCCAAAGTTAACCTTTGAGAGTCAGCCCTCTCCCTTCCACCATGTGACTCTCTGGTATCAAACTCTCTCAGGCTTGAACTTCACCCATTGAACAATGTTACCAGACCATGTTGGCAATATTAACCTTCACAACTATAAACCAAGTTGAGGGATAGAGACTAAAGGAACGTTTATTCTTCACTAAACTGTATGCTCTTTTGTACTATTTTGAAATGTTTTAAGTGAATTATAATGAAAGAGAAGATATTGATTGCTTTAATTAAAAAAGGACTGCTGAATGGGTGGATAATGAATGCAGCCTAATGATGCAGAAAAGACACCATGCTTGTGTTCAAAGCTATTATGTGGCTTTATGATGCATAACCTATCTTGTCCTCCTCTGTAACATGAAACCAAATACAGCACTGAGATGTCAACTTTGAAAAATCAGAGGATACTACCTGACCACAAACAAACTGAAGTTTGAGTGGTCTGACTGAGATTCTGGTTGCAAGAATTTCCCTGGGACCTGCACTATACCAAACACTGTTTTGGACAATGGGGAATACAATGATAGCTAAGGCCTAACTTCTACCCTGAAACAGCTCACAGCCTAGTGGAGGAGATAATAGAGATCAATGTAAATATAATGTGTACAATGGGTCCTAGATTATAGGGTAAAATTTTCCTGAGTAAGTCTTGAAGGATAAACTGAAGTTTGGATAAAGAAGGAAGGAAAGCTATTCCAAGGGGAGGAAACAGAGCAAAGGCTGTGGGTTTGAAACAACTTAAGATATGCAGAGAACTGGAAGACAAATGTGAGAGGGGACCTGGAAAGCAGGTATAAAGAGATAAAGGCAAAAGCAGCAGCTAGACCACAGAGGTGTTTACAAGCTTTGTTCAGGGGTTAGAACTTTATCCAGTAGATTCTGAAGATCTCTAGGTGGGGGGTTTGAAGCGGGTACTCTCTAAACAGCATCTTTTAGTGTATTCAATGTATCATGATGGCCTCTACTCTAATTTTGCTCCTTTCTTTGAGATCCAGGTGGATGTGGAAGCCCTGAACTACCAGGTAGAAGAACGGAAGCTTCGGGAAGCAATAGAGCGAAGCAAAGATATGGCTTATGGTAAATACTCAAGGCTGGGCAAAGGGATAAACCAGAGAGATGGGACTGAAGTTGGGTAATTCTGCCTCAAAATAGAACTTGAGGCTCTGGAATGATAAAAACAAGCCAGATGAGGAGCAGAGGCCAGGTTGCCTGGGTTCTGTTCTGGAGTGTCTTCATGTCTATCACTCCTAGGTACCAAGCATGTACACTATGATCTGGTAGCACAGATGCTAGAGAAGGAAGAGGCAGAACGGGCGTGTCGCTTGTCCAAGAAAGTACAGGATTTTCGGGAGCAAAAGCAGCAATTCAAGAATGGACACGAATTTGACTTCTGGGATCCAGCCCACATCCAGGAGTTTACAGTCCCTTATGTAGACAGAAACACATGCTTTGGCCCATCCAGCATGCAGTACTTCCTTGGAGAGGACGTGGAGAGGGCCTCATGCCTGCGAATGCAGCAGGAACAGTTCAGATACAACCTGGCAAAACAGATACAGGAGCAACAGGAAGCCAGAGAAGAGGAGGCACGTACTGGTAAGTAGCCTAGCAGGGAGCTCACTTGGCCTTAAGGTAATTAGTTACATATTCAGCCAAGGCAGAAAGGTTAGTCTTACAAGCCCTAAGTTCCCTGACTTCCTTCAGCAACTGACACCATAGCCACTATTCATGATTTCTTGGCACTTACCTGGAGGAAGCATGTTACATTGCTATTTACTTTCTGCTTTGGGCAAATGAATGTTCCTCTATGTAACTGAGTTTGCCTTTTCTTTATTTCATGAGATAGGTTCTCACTGTGTATATGCAGTCTAGGGTGGGCTTGAACTCAGCCTCCTGAATATTGGGGTTCCAGCCATGTGCCTCCTTGACAGCTCAGTTTCTTCCTCTTTAAAATAGGCATTATACTCCCACATCACACAGAATAGCAACTACTATTAGGATACAGTCTGTGGCCACTCCTTTCTTTTACACTAGAGAAAGGGCCATTTCTTTCTACTCACACTTCACCTTTCAATCACCAGTGTCTGACAGGGCCTAGGAACAGCTAGACCAGTATATGGCTAGAGTTGGGGAAACTTTTAGTAGCTTTGCTTATGCTATGGCCATGGCTGACAAGCCATTTTCCTCTTCATCTCTGTACTTCAACCTTTACATTTCTTGTTGTTTTGGCACTGGAAATGGAATCCAGGGCTTCATATATTCTAAGCACATACTTCTACCACAGCACTCAAAACCCTTAATAGGCTTATGTGCATCTCTGTCATTGGCCTTACCAGGTTGTTGTTATATTTGATCTGTCTCTCCTATCAGAGAGGGGGGTTTTTTGTTTTTGTTTTTGGTGTGGGGGATGCCAAGACAGGGTCTCATGGAACATACACGGGCTTTGAACTTGCAATATAGCATGTTCTGATCTTTCTGTCTGTGTCTCCCAAGTGCTGGAATTATAGTCCACTACACTGGACTAGGCAAGGAGTTCTCTGAGACAGGAGATAATTCTGTAGTATCCTTAGAACCCAACAAATCACCTTTAGACTGGGGCTGAGAAAGATGAAATTACTTAAGGCCACATAACTCAAACACAACAGAACTACATTGTTACCCAAGATGCTCTGCTTTGGCTACCCCCAACCCCAAAGAGTAACTCCTTCCTTATCACTATAACTTTGACACTCAAATCTGTACACACAAATATAAAGTATGTCAAATAGCTAATGAGTGAACTGGGAATGGGGACTAGAAGAGGCAAGTACAATGTCCTGGCCATATTTCCCTGTGCAGCTTTGCTTAGTGACCAGCTACGCCTAGCCGTGGACACACGAGCTGCTGAACTGGCCAGGCTGGAGGAGTCCTGTCGAGCAGCCATGAGGACTGCCATGGCTAATGCCAACAAAGCCCAGGTATGTCCTGCACTATTCAGTGCACTAAGCCCACCCCAATGCCTAAATTAAGACTTTAACCACAACTTTCTCCTCACACCCCATTTCTAACCACTGTAAGCGTTCTCGTCTACCCAAGGACTCCCTGTCCACCTAAGATCCTGTTAAAGTATAAGTCACCTCTCTCCCTACCTCCAGATACAGGGTGACTTAAGAACAGGTATTAACCTTTCATCCCTGACCTCTAGACTAAGTGTAGAGAAATTCCCAGGCCATTCTATCCCCCTCCATCATACCATTAGGGTCATTAAAAATCCATGCTATGTCTCTCCGTTCTCTCTGAGATTACTAGGGCTATATTCTTCCTATCCCTTCAAGTAAGTTTCTTAAGGCTGGGCCCCCAAATGCTTACATCTGGGGACCCCCACCAGGCAGCTAAGCAGGCCCTGAAGCAACGCCGTGAACAGCAGCAACAACAGGAGGCCAACCTCATGGATATCAAGAAGCAAGTCACCAGTGATCTACTGACTGAGAATCCTCAGGCTGCCCAGCGCCCCCATGCTCCTCACCGGGTCCTGCCCTATTGCTGGAAGGGCATGACTCCAGAACAGCGAGCTGCCATCAGGAAAACTCAAGAAACACAACGACAAGAGAAAAAGGAACAGTGCCAAGCAGAAAAGTCCCTGGAAGCTGAGTGGGGATGCCAAACCAGACGGATTGCTGAAGCAGCATTGGAGCTGGAGGAACAGGAGAGAGAATTGTGTGCTGAATTTCGAAGGGGGCTAGGCTCCTTCAACCAGGAGTTAGCTAGGGAGCAACAAGCCCAGTGAGTTCTAGTGTGTGGCAAGGGGGAGGAAGGCAGGGAGTAGGTGGGGAGGAATGGCAAGGACCAGGGACAGGGAAATCACATCGGCTATGGTCTTTGATTTTCACAGGCAAAATTATCTGAATTCAGTCATCTACACCAACCAACCTTCTTCCCAGTATTACCTACAGTTCAACACCAGCAGCCGCTGAACTCAGGGTGGTCACCTCCCTTCTCATCTGTCAATCTCACAGGTGGCCAGGAGTCGAAAAGAAAATGCTGCATACCCCTATCTCTACTCTCACCTCGGTAGGAAGGAACTAATCCCAAACCTCCGCTTTCTACCCTAGGTAATAAAGTTATTCACTACAATGAACCATGTGTTGTGACAGTATACAAGTGTGAGATTCTGCCTTTCTCACTCCAGGCTGAGGCTCTTGGGTATCCACCTCAGAGCCTTTATTTTCTTCTCCTAGTACACATAGTTAATTCCCCTAGTACACAAGACTGTTCACATCCTGTAAATTTGAGACTTTATTAGGCACAGAGGGTGAGTAGAGCAGAGTTACAAAATGGCTGTCAGGTTTCCTTCAAGCTGCAAAGAAGCCGGCATTTTTCCTGCCTTCACCCTTTAAGGCTGCATTCGAATGGCCCCATCAAGCCGGATGACCTCTCCATTCAGGAATGGGTTCTCAATTATGGTCTGTACCATATGAGCGTATTCAGCAGGGTCACCCAGTCGGCTGGGGAAGGGCACCTGGCTGGCCAAGAAGTTCCGTACTTTCTCTGGAAGGGTAGTAAGCAGTGGGGTGGCAAACAAACCTAGACCAGAACACCAGGATCAAAGGTTCAGTCTTGTTTTCTCAGTTATCTGCTTCTTCCTCACTTTAGTGCTAAGCTGCTAATACTTAGATAGTGGGTATCTTCTCTCATCTGCCTACAGATCCCACCCAATTCTATGTATGGAAAAAAAAAAAAGAAAGAAATGTCTACCTGGAGCAATTGTCATCACACGGATGCCTATGGGAGCCAGATCCCGAGCAATAGGCAGTGTCATGCCCACTATTCCCCCTTTGGATGCAGAGTATGCAGCTTGTCCAACCTGGAAAAAGAGTAGAGATCATAGGTGGGAGAAGCCCCCACAGGAACTTTGACCCCCCTGTTGGGCAGTGGTGGCACACATCTTTAATCCCAGCACTTGGGAGGCAGAGACAGGTGGATCTCTGTGAGTTCGAGGCCAGCATGGTCTACAGAGTGAATTCCAGGACAGCCAGGGCTACACAGAGAAACCCTGTCTCCAAAAACAAAATAAAGAACTTTGCCACCATCCACATACCTGACCCTCAAAGGCAGCCACACTGGCAGTGTTAATAATAACTCCACGTTGGCCTCCCTGGTCTGGTTCATTCTGGCCCATCTCACCAGCAACCAGGCGGATGACATTGAAAGTGCCTAAGAGATTCACCTGTAGGGGGGGTAGAACCATGATGTACAATGTAAGGCCTTTTGTTTGCTTAAAAGCTGAGCACCAACAGCCAGACATTTCTTATTCCTACCCCCTGGAAATCTGCCAAGGCCTTACATTGAGAACCCTCTGGAAGTCCTCCAAGGTATGGACCTGATTCTTCTTTTGGTTGTATGTCTTAATTGCCACTGCAATACCTGCACAGTTGACAGCCACATCTATACGGCCAAACTTTTCTTTTGCTAGAGTCAAAGCTGCCTGTACATCCTTCTCCGAGGTCACCTTGAAAGGGAGAAATGAAGGAAAGGTATTCATTTCCTGGCATATACACAGCACTAAACTTAGAGCAGTGCAAGCCCAGTCCTTGAATGGGAACAGAATTGAATAGAAACAGAATTGTGTGAGTAAAAGAAGTGAAAGTTGTGATAAAATGAGTTAAAAGGAAAACAGCAGGTGCTATATAAAAGTATTGCAAAGCATTTTTCAATCTATGCTTTCTTTGAATTGATAAGCCCCTGGTAATTCTCAACTGCTATGGATTAGGGCACTATACAACCTTGTATTGCTTTTTCTCTTTTGCAGTACTGACAAACTGAGGGTCTCCCACATGCTAGGTAAGAACTCTACCCCTGAGCTATAGTCCAATACAACTGTGTTTTGAGAATTACTCACAGGATCATGATCTTTTTTTTTTTTTAACCCTTCCTGTTCAGTTCAGGTTTTTCAACTCTGTAAACTCTGTAAATATAAAATCACTGGGCAAGACAGGCATTTCCAACTGTTCATATCTCCTTCAGGAAATTCTGGTGTGTCCACTCCTCATCCCCATTATGCTGAGCCCCAGCCTTAGAGTTCTTACTGCAGGTGATCTCATGTGCTGAGGGACTCAGGTCAAAAGATGAAGGGAGATGAACTCACCACCCTTACATTTGTATGTATGTGCAGGCGTGTTTGCGCCAGAGCACATGTGTGGAGGTCAGAGTTGGTTCTTTCCTTATACCATGTGGGTCCTGAGGATCAAACTCAGGTTGTTATGGATTGCAGCAAGAGCTTTTACTGGGTAAGCCATCTAACCGACCCCAGACAGCACTCTTATGGGAGAACCCTCCCCCCTCCAAGTTTCCTCATGCACACTCTGATAGAGTCCTGACTCACGTTGGCTGAGGCAAACATGCAGCTCTCCCCTAACTTCTTGGCTTGGGCCTCACCCCCCGAGTTAGGAAGGTCCAGAAGCACAGTTGTGGCCCCTTGTCCCACCAGTCTTTCGGCCGTAGCCAGGCCAAGGCCAGAGGCTCCTCCAGTTATTATAGCGACCAAGCCCTGTGAAGAGGTACATGTAAAAAGAACTGCTCCTGTCCAAACCACCCCCACCCTTTCACCTGCCAGTTCCTGAATTCTTCGAAGAAGCAGGGGCAGTCAGTGACCCCAGTGTGCTTCCTCTCTTCACAGCTGACACCGCGGGGAGGGGAGTGGGGGGAGTGTCTCATCCCACGCGTGTTTCTCTGGGACCCCTCACACACTTATGCAGTTGGACGTTGATGTTCACCTATTGAGCCCAACTGCCACAAAACCAGGCCCGGATAAAAGCAGGGCCCTTTTCCTCCGGGCACCGATCTCTCCTCTCTAGTTCCTCCTGCCAGCGCATTCCTAGCCTGCGTAAAAACAAGACGTTAGAGGCACAGAGCAGTCTACCTTCACGCTCCGACACACCGCAGCCATCTTGCACCAGTCTCGCCACCAGAAGAGGGCTTTTACTTAGTCCCTTTTGCACATGCGCTCGCTGATTGGCCGGCACAGAGACGCCTACTGGGGCGGGGAGCAGCGGCCGCGCACCGTAGGGGGGAGGGGAGGGGCGTGGCCTGATGCTCTGGGACCTTGGAAAGCGGGAAGTCGAGTACTCAGCCCAAGGAACGTTTTGTTTGTAGAAAGAGCTTAGTGGCACCTGCATGGTATCACCACCCTTTCACCCCGTTCTCTAGCTGACCATTTGGCATGCTGCCAGCTCCACCAGAGGACAACAGGGTGAAGATAGAAACTGAGCTCCTTTCTCAGTAAAACTTTTCAAGTGAAACCGATTCCTATGTGCCAGGTTCTCCCGGGTATTGCAAATACACAGAGGAAGAATAACAGGTCCTTACTTCCCAGGAGGACACAGTTCATTTGTAGAAAGATGAAATTACAGGACACACAACGAAAGGGGCAGAGAAACAGATTTTTTTTTTTTCCAGTGACGGAAGCAAACTGCAAGGCCCTGTATCTGTTAAGCAAGTACTCTACAAACAGCCCAAATACAGGTTCCAGAATACTCAGCTGAGGAGAATTAAAAAACAAAGAAAAAGAAAAAGAAAAGAATAGGAAGATTCCGAGATACAGAGAAGCAGCAGCAACAGAGACAATTATGTCGAGGCAATGATGGAGAGAGGCCAGATAGGATCACACTTTGTGCCTGTGGGTGGAGGGGTCTTTACAAACTAGGGATAGGAGACAGGCATTACAAAACAGGTACCCCTGAGCGTCTTTCATTACCCCAGCCTTTGCTGTGTTCCTGTGTTCGATGCCCAAATGAGACACTAAATTGGACCTCATCCAGACATTGTTGTTAACAACTCAGGTCTCTGGTCAGAGCTTTCACCAATATTTCAATTAGAATCTTTAGGATGGACATTTAATCTGTCTTCCATCCATGTTTTTCCTCAACCTAAAGTCTGCAGGCCCACAAATCTCAGCCTACACTTTCTGACTGTAACGGCATTACGTTTTTTCTATGTTAAGTATTCTCCAATGAACTTCCCTCAAGGACTCTTAGTTGCTGACAGCCAGTATACCCATATTGATTTTTCACTACTTTATCAAAGGATTTAGCACTAGACTCACAATCTTTACTTTGTTTTATTTATTTATTTTTGATTTTTCGGGATAGGGTTTCTCTGTGTAGCTTTGGAGCCTGTCCTGGAACTTGCTTTGTAGACCAGGCTGGCCTTGAGGGCTAAGGTGAAGGCAGAGTTTAAATGAGTCCACCATACCCAAGATAAGTGATCATTAGGTATTAGGGAAGCACGGAGATAAGAGTAAATAATGGCTGTGGTCTTCCTACTCCAGAAGATGTAGTCTCCATATGCTCTCCATAAACCTAGAGAGTGAGAGCCAGCCCCTCCTCTACCTTATAACCGGTCACATCTGCACCTGAAACTACGCCCAAAGGGTGTGGCTACCACCACAAATTCATTGGCAAAGCAAGATGCCACTATATTGAGGTGCTGAGGTTACTAAAGGCCTGTGCCATCACTGTCCGGCTTCACAAATCTTTATTTTTAAGGTGTGCATGTATGTGCATGTGTGTTTGTACTGTGTGGAGTCAAAGGGCAACTGTAGGAATTGGTTCACTCCTTCTATCATGTGGGTCCTGGGAGTCAAACACAGATCATCCAGCTTAGTGACAGCACCTTTACCTACTGAGTCATTTCACCAGTCCCAGACTCACATTCTAAATGTTTTTGTAGAAGACTTGCTAGCATGCACAAAACCCTTTATTCAATGATTCCCAGCATGCAATGGGGAGGCAAATGCTAACAACAGAACCAGCACTCATGACTACCATAACTTTGAATTAATAATGTGATTTTGAGAAGAGACATGTATCTATAACCATACCATGGGTGGTAACCCTGAACATGCCCGATCTCATCTAATCAAGGAAGCTGAGCAGGGCCAGGGCCAGGAAGAAGAGATATGCAATGCCATATTGGGCTCCAAAGATGTGGTTTCTGAGCTGGGGAGATAATCCAGTAGATTAGAATATATGCTATGTATGGTGGTTTGAGGGAACGGCACTACTAGAATGTGTGGCCTTGTTGGAGTAGATGTGGCCTTGTTGGAGGAAGTATGTCACTAAGGGTGGTCTTTGTGCCCAA